TTGACGGTCGGTTGTCGTATTTTGGTAAACGCGGATTAGCCGTGTTACGACTTTGGCTTTGAATTCGTATGGTACGCGACGTACCCGTTACTATTGTTTGATTGTATTTCGTTTTTGTCTTTTCGATCTATATTAATTACTATTTTTTGTGTGTAATTCATCGATTCGGTATTATACGAAATCGTCGCGCTTCGCGCCGCCGATTTTTCTTTAATAAACCGAACCATTTATTTGAGATCGAAGTGTCCAAATAATTTTGTGTGTCGCGTGATCGTCTGACCCATCCGACCTATTGTTCCGAATCCCGCCGCCTCCGCGTAGCTGAGTTAGCCAACGTAGGCACGCGAAGACATATCGTAGAAACAGATACGTGGTTCCCGTTTTGGAACCTGGCGCCCAACAATACCTTAGGTATTTGCGAGAGTGAAATTTGTTAGCCCCTGGGTTGCCTGGAACGCGTAGGAATCGCGTAAAGGTGTGCGCCGGTCGGTCTTGCATTTTCCGGTGAGGTCGATCGCGTAAAAATACGTCACAATATATAAACGTGACTGACTTAACTACTGACTAAACTTAGATACCTAGCGAACAGGAAACAGGAAACCGAGTCTCTATTCCGGCGCTGCCAACCCTCAGTCCAGAAAAATCCTACAGCCGTGAATATTTATATAATATAAGAGACGGTTACGTTAATTAAGAAATTACACAATTTTTAATGAAATTAATAACAAGTAATTACTAGCATCAATCTTTTCTTTCATATAGCAGTTTCGTTTATGATAAATCGGATAATTATTTCAATGAAAAATAATTACACAGAACAATTTTTTTTAAAACAAGGATAATACATATACATAAGATATAGAGGTATATGGTGTAGATGATCTGTCCCAAAAGTAATGATAAAAAAATTACATAAATAATCGTTTTTACAAAGAAAAACAGTTAATAATCTTCGAAGTATGCGCCTTGGGCAGTAATACAACGAGTCCAACGTTGCTGCCAGTGGTTGTAGCATTGTTCGAACTCATTTTGTGAGATGCTGCGAAGCCTAGTGGTTACGGCTTTTTGGAGATCTTGGAGTGTGTCAAAATGGCGTCATCTCATGTCCATTTTAAGCCGTAAAAATAAATAAAAATCACAGGGGACGAGATCGGGACTATACATATGGTGGATAGGGAGGCAGTGGGATGTGTTCTTGGGTTAGGTATTCAGTCACAACCAACGCCGTGTTAGGCCGAGCGTGTCGTGGTGGACGATCCAAAGAAAGCTCGGATGAGCAAATCACGTGTCAAACCACTACTGATCGTGTTCTTCGACTCTAATGGAGTTGTCCATAGAGAATTCGTACTACCTGGGCAGACGGTGGATTCACAATTTCACTTAGAAGTGCTCAAGCTCTTGAAGAAAAGGGTAAACCGCGTCCGCCCAGTGATCGCTGGCAGCTGGATCGTCCACCACGACAACGCTCGGCCCCACATGGCAATGGTTGTGACTGAATACCTAACCCAAGAACACATCCCCCTGTTTCCCCATCCACCATACAGTCCCAACCTGGTTCCCTGTGATTTTTTATGTTTTCACGGCTTAAAATGGACATGAAAGGACGCCATTTTGACACACTCCAAGATGTCCAAAGAGCCGTAACCACAAGGCTTCGCAGATCTCACAAAATGAGTTCGAACAATGCTACAACCACTGGCAGCAACGCTGGACTCGTTGTATTACTGCCCAAGGCGCATACTTCGAAGATTATTAACTGTTTTTATTTGTAAGAATGATTATTTTATTTATGTAATTTGTTTCTCATACTTTTGGATCAGACCATGTATATAAAAACATGACTATTTCCGAGGGGAAAATACTGACTCGCACGTAACCAGGTAATAACAGACTGTCCTGAAAATAAAAAATCCTGGTTTTCCCTAAATATTCTGGTGTGGCCCTGGTCAGTTTTCGGGTTTACGCGATTTGATTTCTACTACAGTGTAACAACGATTCTAATCAAGCCGTGATTATTAACACATTCCGTGCCGGACTTTTTATTTTACTTTCCGATCATACAGCATGGGGCGTATACGTAGGACAAAACATGTTAAATTATAAGGGCACCCTGCAAACGAATAAATAATATATGTATATCAAATTCTTGAATATAAAGCAGCGAATACAGAATACGTTGCAAGAACACAGAATAGCTCAGAACAATATTAATACTGAAATGACAGTTCTGTATTAAAGAATTTAAAAATCAACAACATTTAGACAGTTTGGAATAGCGGTTACGCTAAAGAATCAAAAGAATATTATATTTACACTAGAAAAATTAGGATAAACTGAGAACAACAGTCCCGTGACGTATTTTACAACAAATTTACAATATCCCAGATGGTTCCAGGAACGATCTTTTACCATGATAACAAAATTAAAGTCTCCACTTGTTTACCTGGCCAGCTGACAGTTACCTAACTGATCGCTCCGTCGAGTACCAATATTTACAATTTCTGGTAACACACCGAATAACGATCTTGAGCTACTCTCGAACAGTTTCCGCTGGGATTTCAGATCTATCTGACTAGTATGCCTATGGGAAACACGTAATATTTTCCCCTTTCGCTCGTAGGTCCTGTGATAGTGGAGCAAAATCTTTTCAGCCAACAGAATATAACATTATATTATCCATAGCAGATTATCATTTATTGATAGAATAACGATCACAAAATACACTTAAGAATTATAAATTTATCTATAGGCATAAGCAATCGAGTAGATTGAACTAATATCAGAAATATAACCAGAGATAATACATTTGTCGAAGGGAGTGAGGGCATGATGATAACAAAATTAATGTAAGTAAATAGGGGTAACTCTTGCGAGTGAGGTCGGACTCGCTCGTTTCGATCGCTCGCCAACGATTCTATTTATTTAAACCCACTGTGTGAAGGTCACTGATCCTTGCGAAACAGTACAATTCTAGTCTATCCTGATCATTTCTAAGCTCCCCGCAGCACTGTTATTGCATGAGGATGATTTTATTTATCTAGACCCATTGTGCCAGAGTTACAGATTGTCGACGGGCAATCAAGTGCCGGGCATTCATTCATCAGGTATACCGGTTCCAGGAATTTTGTCGCTAAGCATTTTGTCGTAGGCATTTTGCCTGGGTGATTTAGTCGTGATACGCCAGATTCCAGGAGCCTAATCTACTGCTACTACGCATATCTCGACCATCTACTCAAATACTGTAGACTCATAGCGTTATTCACCATTCATTCATTCATTCATATCTCACTATCACTCTTTCAGTCTAACTCTCTATCTGTAACTCTCTCTGTACAATCACATGACTATATCGTAAGCGATGCAATCTGGTCTCCAAATCGGTAAGGTGCTCTGGTGGCGCGCTGGAGTACTACCCTGTCAGCAAATTGCGTTCGCGGTATTCGCGAACTCACTAGCTTCGTCTGCAATTTTTTATCGTTTCTCTTGCTCCCGAACACGTAGATCCCAATATTTTTCCATTTCCTAGGAAACTGCACTGTCTTTCACGATGTGCGTCTTCAGGCCACCACTGCAACCCACTAATACGGAACACATGTATCATGAAATTGTGGAGTTTGCATATATTATGTACGTGGAAAGCATACGTATGGTCTATATTATACATGTATCTAAAGTTTATATATTTTTTGTTACAGATATCATAAAACTGCAGATGAACAATAAATCTTGGACCAGCCGTAATTGGTGCACGCGAAAACAATATTGACTCATTAACGCGTATATAATACAAATGACAGGAAGATTAAATAATAGATTGCCACGCAATTGAAATAAACGACAGGAGAAATACGTGAAAGATAGAGTAGAAAATAAGCATTGGTCTCCAATGTCTTCAAAATGTGAAAACGACTAAAGATGGGTTCAAGTGGTAGTTTTTAAAGTGGACAATAATAATGCCGATTATGCTTAAGGTGTAAACATTAATAAGCGCTAATGAGAAGTTGAAGAAATTAAGTGAATTTTATCTGTACTCTCTTCTCTCTGCTTTCTCTATTCCTTTTCGTAAATATCTCTTTTTCTCTTTACCCCTCTGAGTCTCTTTTTCTCTCCATTTGTCTCATTCCTCTATCGATTTTCTCTGTGTACCCCTCCCTTCAACCCCCACCCACCATCAGTTCTTCCCACCGCCGTTCCATTCTACTCCTCTCCACTTTATTGTCATTGTGAAAAAAAGCAAAAAAAAGACTAAAAACTTCATTACGCAGCATGAAAGACCATCGGCGATATCCCACGCGTGCTTTACGCGGAACCGCGTATGAGGTAGCGATTAATGTGAGAGGTGCTAATATGTGATGGATATAGGAGATACAAGAGGATGAACAAGTGTTTTTGAAGCATTCGAAGTACTCGAAACCTCCTGGAAACTTTAGTAAAAGTGAGAGACACTTAAAAATGCTGCGACACATCCTAAGTAACCTAACGAGCACCGGTGTCCCAATCGTACCGTCCACTGAGAGAATGAACGTCCCAACGCTGTCCTCGACGATCGAGACAAGTTTACTAAGCACTACGAACACCTCAAGCACCCCGGGCACAGCAAGCACAGCGGTCAATGCTGCCGGGACGATCGTGACCAATCCGTCCACGGGTTTAACGGGCGTCGTCTTTACGGCCACGTCTAAGCCCGACCAGCACCATTACAATGCTACAGGTTATGTCGGTACGGAACACGACGAGCTTGATTACAGTAAGTATAATGACAGCACTTTGTCTTATGGGATTATTTGAATTTCCCTCGCTTACACTAATACCGTCTAATCTTTGTACCAGAGTTCGTTTTATTTTACGAACTGGATTATAATTTCTGGATCAGTTATACTACGTCATATCGATCCTGAGCACCCTTTGTGAAAGGGACACAAAGGTTAGTAATATTGAAGTTTGAGCCAAGTATTTTTTGTTACTTCTTGGTTCAGAATTCCTTGCGGCTGTGTATGCCATGAGAGTCCAAAGATTGAGATCGTAAATCTTTAGTAAAACCTAAACGAAATGATGCGAAGAAACGAAACTTACCGGGTATATATTATCGATGTAAAGTGACTTGAGTACGGACGTGAAACTGGGTCGGGCATATATCTTCTATTTGCAAAGCTTTCTCAGTGGAAATCGGAAAGCCGAAGCCACGGCTACTTATTGGTTTCGTTTAAATTGGCTCCGGTTTAAAGGTTAAGTTCAGACCGACGCCTACACGATCGTCTAAATCCTTTCAAAGGGCATCGAAGGAATCGTGCGAATTGGACTAAATCTTTACCCTCGATCCTAGACCCCTATCATCCTTCCCTAAAGGACAAGGCTGTTCTTGGTAAGGCTCTCCAAGATACACATTCCACGGTTTCTTATCTTGGAGCTTTCCAAATCAATGTCCCTGATAAGGATAACTCTTGCGAATGAATAGCCAGCCCTCTTATAAGTATCGATAAATGTCACTTCGACTACTTTGGCGCCCATCAAAAAACAAAATCATACTGAATCTATTTGAGTTTAAATCAACAGACTAAATTAAGATGAAAAGGAATTCATTAATATCCTATCATCATATATTTCACAGGAGGACACAACCGTTGTTAGACGATAACAAATGCAATATTTCTCCATCATTCATTTGTATGTTTTCTCATGGGAATTTTGTCGTATGTATTATTTAAGAAACAAATAGTATGCTTGTATGTGATATAGATATAAAATTGGTATATCGCAATATTATAAGGTATACAGGGTGTCTCACCGAAAGTGCATACCTCGATTATTTTCATTACTAATGAAGATACGGAAAAAGTTTCAGACAAAAGTTGTACGGTTTCAAGGGGTAGATTTATAATCCAAATGATTTTTTTTATATTCATTTGATTTAGAGATACAGCACATTGCACGTATTTTTTCAAATGGAACATCGTTTTCTGTTAGTATAAGAAAATGTAGCACATTCTTTTCTTAACACTTTAATACCTTGCAAACTACAATAAAATCTATCCAGCCATTTCCAAATTATTGAGAAGTGAATTTATTGAACAATCTTCAGTTGCAGCGCTGCTAGAGCATTTAGAGGTCGCGCGCTTAATTTCGTAACCGAAGATTATTCAATAAATTCACTTATCAATAACTGGGAAATGGCTGGATAAAGTTTAGTCTGCAAGATCTTAAAATGTTAAGAAAAGAACGCGCTACATTTTCTTATGCCAACGGAAAATGATGTTCCATTAAAAAAAAAAACATGTAACGTGCTGTATCTTGAAACCAAATGAATATGAAAAAAGAATCGTTGGGATGAAAAATCGACCCCTTTGAAACCATACAACTTTTATTTCAAACTTCTCCCTCTATCTTCAATAGTAACGGAAATAATCGAGGTGTGCACTTTTGGGTGAGACACCCTGTATAACGTTCGCACTATAGTAGGGTATATAGTGGTTTATAGTACTATCTTATTGGCCCATAATTTTCGCAACAAGCACACCATTGGCACCATAGCAATATGGCGTAGGCTTTTGTTACCAGAGAAAATCTTGGCGTCCTTTCCGTTCTCTGATCGTCTGTGGCTTACTCTATTGGCATACTAACGCCGCCTGCGGTTCTGGGTCGATACGCTGCGTTCACGGTTCAGCTAACACGGCTGACTATGAATGTCCGTTACCACTGGGAGCTCGACCGTTTCCCCGTTTTTGGTGAAGCCTTCGACACCAGGGCCTGTTTCAAAATTCTCAATCTCTTTGATTTTCGCGGTTACCGAATGGATCTGAACGTATTTGGACAGTCGTGAAACGTATGGTTATCGCAAATGAAATATATTGAAGCGAAAGTGGGGAAATACAATTTCTTGCATTCTACTGTTGTCTGTACAAAATCAGATTATGAACCCTGCATATTTTTGTTCATGTTTTTTTCAGAAAGATTAACAAGAGTATTTATTTCTTACGTATTATCCATGGATTTCGGAATTCGACAGATTGACTATGATAAATATTCATACACCCTTTATCATATATATTGTAACGTTTGTCGATAGTGCAATTTCGTACGCTCCTTATGAGTGTACGAAATGGGAAGTAGGTAAGTGCTCGGAGCTGGCGTCTTTAAGAATTGAGGCGACAAAGGTTGATAAGATAAAATAAAATAACAAAAATTGATTAAATTATCGGTAATCCGTACACTCGTTCTGTGACATGTGTCACTTATAATCGTATGTTTGTTTTCTATTCCTATCTCTCTCTCTGACCTGTCTGTGAGGTACAGAGGATATGCCTGTGTTGGTTCTGTAGCCCTAGTAGCGCTTTGCCTATCTATTGGCTATGGCACTGTGTGCGACTCAACTAATCACGGCGAGGATAATAGATTAGAACAATACGGCGACGACTGAAGTTTCGGAGGTAGATCGCTATGTTCTCCTCAGAACTTGGACAATTTTTCTCTGCGCGTCGGTCTAAGCGGAATAGCTAATGCTACTGTTCCGTAGCCTTTCGAAACAATTATGATCAGTGATTTTATGAAAATACAATACTCTATCCCACAGGGCATAAATCGAGCTTAACTGTATAACGATTCTAAAATGCGTTATCCTTATGGATTTAATTCATGTTACTTTTAATTCAACTCACTTGTCCTTCCTGTTGTAATTCTGGATTTCTATTGATAAAATTGATCTGAAGTGCCGTATTTGACTAGTTCTAACCCTAGATTGATTAGCGAAAAGCCATTGAACATCCAACGGATAACTTCTGTTTCTGTGTACATCGCTCTTGTTTGCTTTACTTTTTTTCTTCTTTTTTCGAAATTTACGATCGTGTATATAAATTGTAGGCTGGATGGATACGGCGATTTATACAAAATAATTTACAATAAATGTGCACTATCATCGTCATTTTTTAATGTTTTGTACACGATAATTTTCAATTTTATTCGTGCTTTTTTGTATTTCATTATTTCATATTGTAAAATTTTAATTTCGTGGTTACTTGACTTGAAGCATACTCATTAAATTGTAAATCATACTGCATGTTCATTAACGTCTGTAATCTACATGTATACTATGTCCACAAGCAGTATGTACTGGGTGTCCATTAGAGAGTGGAATTCGAAAGCTTTTCAGGATTTTGAAAATCCATTTCAGTGGAAAGCCGTAATCCTTGAACGTGAACAACTTTTGAGGTCTCAGATCATTGAGGACTCGTGACACGTTTTTTGGAGGGGAAATGGGAGGATATTATGTAACCTTACAGCTTTCTTTTCGACGTCGGTATCACAAAGTTACGGCGATCCTTCAAAATGATAACGTTTTAGATATCTTTCGAATTACTTGCACTCTGCTTGCTTTCTGTTTACGTACTTGACCAATAGCGCGGGCGATACAGTCCTCGATTACTTTCCGTCTCGTCGGGTTTTAACAACTGGAGTGATCGGACCATGTTTCGTACCAATTCTTTCCGATTGGTTTAGTTCCGCTGGTCTGCGTATCAATGATTTCTGGAGCTGGGCAGCGGTCCTCTTAAAAGTCTTAAAAAACCGAAATTCTTATATAATGAAACTAATGTTTTTAATACGACAGGAGTAAATATATAATAAATTTAAAGACAAATATTTGTTATTTTTAGTATTATTTAGAGTTGAATATTCTTACCGATATGGGATTAAGAACGTTTTTGTTCGCCCTCGTGTTTTGATTTCTTTTTATTATCGAATTTGGTGGATTTACGTATCTTTCAGAATCGACATTCCATGGTACAAGAATTTTCGATGTGGTTCTCACGGTTTCCGTCTTTTCGAAAATACAAAAGAGATTTCTTGAAATGATTTTACATGAATCAGGATAACCGTTCGACTTACTGCTGTTTGTGGACCGATAAGTCTCTCTGTGAGAATTTTCTGTATTTCCATTTGCGCTTTCAGTGCAGCATTTCTCTCCATTTTCTTCAACTGGCACGCTACGCTTCGTGAAAATATGTCAAATTCGTCCTCGGCTTCTATACGTGACTTAAATTCCGCTTCATTAACCGACTGCTTCCGAACGGTTGACAAGTTTGGCTATTCTCAAAAAATGCAACTGCGTTACGTAATTTATCACGGGATGGGTGGTACCCATTGTTAAATCGATAATAAGTCAAACTTAATTGCAACCGATATTCCATTATATGTATATTGGCTACTACTGAATATATAGTAGAGCACTTGGAGATAGACATATGTTATCCAATTGGACTAAATGAAAGAAACTTGCACGAAGAAGCGAAGGTGTTCGATTTAAAGAAAAATGAAACTCAGTGCGAAGGGAAGTGACGTGTATACCTTTTTATATGTAGATTCAGCAGTCCACGAAATTTCCTGATCCGTAGCAGAGGAACCTTCTTTACTGTAGTATTCGGAATTCTTATTGTATAAAATAGTCAGAGAAATGGATTTTCTTGATTCAACTGAATTACAGCATCTCAAAGTACCATGGGCCTCTTGCTTCTTTGGCTTACACTCAATTATTCTGGTAGGACTCTCTTGAAGATTGCCAGTAGGAGTATTTTTTGGGATTGCCCATTCAGGCTAACGAATAAATTTTTATTTATGATTCTCATTATAATAATTATTGTTGTTTATTTTTTAAATATTTTCTTACACGTGTGTTTGAGGAATTTTGAAAATCCTTGTCATCGCTCCCTTTTTTGTGACTATGCTGTATGTTACAGGTTGATAAAATTCGTGGCATGTCCTAGGAAAAATATTTTTAAAAAAAGAAATATTTTCAATTTTTCGATTTATTCTCAAATACAATAACTAACATACGTGTAACTCAGCAACTTCGTCGTAGTCCAAATATGAATATAAGAATTCATGCAATATATGAAACCATGTACAACCCGAGTCGTAGTAACAATTCACAGTTTCTGCTTGCAAATATTTTTTCAATTCCATAACGTACATCCGGCGTAGCTCACGGATTTTCATCATAACTTCTATAAAGTTGCATTCAAGCGGCGACATTGCATTGTGTATCGATCTGTAGGCGCAGTGCCTTGCTCTATTGTCCAAATACGCATTTGCGTCCTTCTGCCACAGGCAGGGGTACTTCCGGTACAAGGATACAAGCTTACGCAGCTTCCTGTCTGTCCACTTATCCTTAGTGCAAGCCCCCTCGATTTTCCTGTCATCACAACGTATCATCTGATGGCTGAAACTTCGGGATCGAAACGGATTGATTCACATAGCCGATTCGAAAACACCATCCGGTTAAATTTGCTGATCTAAATATGAAATTAAATGAAACTTAATGACCCTGAATACATTGCGTGTTCGAACATTTAATTTTAACCTGAAAATCTAAATTGTGGAATCTGAAGTTGACAAGGCTTAGATATTTTTTGCCGTTGCAGTCTTCACACAGTGACAAAATTTCTGTGATAATTTATTCGCGTGTTATTTTTTAAAGAAGTTTAATCACCCTTGAGTCCACCTAACGGATTGTGATATTTTGGATTATTTATTTTTAGTCTTTTGTGAACTTTATTGAATTCTATATCATTTTCAAAAGTCTTATTCTTTTAGTTTTTATGAATTAATTTTTTAAGTTGTGTTTTTTGTTAGTGGATTTAGATCATCTCCTAGTTGTTCTTCAGAATTTGGTATATCTCTTAACGAATCTAAGACAGGGACTCTGTTCTCCGTTTCTAATTCTTGAATTGGATTTATTGATTCAGAAGAATAACGAGGTTCCTTTAGCTCAGCGGAAATCCTTATTTTTTTAGAATTCACATTGGACAGCGCATTATACTTTAACTCAGATGCATTATCCACTTCCCTAGATTCTGTAGTGTGCAAAGTTTCCAAGATCAATTCCTTAAGTTTTATCGCTCTCTGCCTGTCAGTCTTTTTTAGCGCAGTTGCCACTTCCGTCCCGAACCAATCATATTCTTTATTTATCTCTTCCGCAACCTGTAAGCCATCTCGCGAGCCTCTAATAAGTTTACTATTATCATTGTATAATGTTCCAGCATCCTGCAATTCGATTCTCGCCATTTCCAGAACTTCTTGTAAACTGTCGGCATTCCCTAAAACCAAAAAGGAAAAAAAACGTCTGAAACTTATGGAATGGAAAATAAAGGAACCAGTAAAAGTACAGAGTGAACAAAAAAAAAAGGAACTTCGTGTCGAAATGAAAACGACGTAATTTCAAGCAGACGCAGATGTAGCAATCTATTCATATAATTTAAATTATTCTTTACTTTGTTCAAAATTTGAGAACAAGCTAATTTTATCTCTTTTTCTTCATTTTTAGTAAAATAGTGGTACAAACTTCTTAGAAATACCATACACTTTAAACATGACTCTTGGCCGCCATTTTCAAGCTTATTCGACAAGCAAAATAATTCTGCATGGATGTGAAATGAGGCAGTAACATGAAATAAATATTTATTGAATTCCTTACGACGTCAAATTATGAAAATATTTCAATTTCTTTCGACGTTACTTCTGATTCGGTTTCGGTGGAAGTCCTCGATTCTTACCTCCTTCCTATGGCACCTGTAGAATCTGCTAAGGACTCTCAGAGATCCCTCCGGCGCTTGAACTCGTTAGAGAGTACCACGATAGAAACCAGAGAAAGGCTTTCATCGTTCACATCTTTCCAGCGGCTTCTTTTGTCTTCCGTTTGTCAATCCTTACGTTAAGTAAGCGATTAATTTTCATAAATTTGTCACTAGATCTTACTAGGATAAGTGTCGGATTTATTGTCCCTACGTACAGGATTGTACGTAGTAATCTTTACGAAACTATTGATTGGATCGTGAAACAAAATTTTGTAATTACACAACATTTGTATCTGCTTGAAATTTTTCTAAGATTTATAATGTAATCTTTTTGTACCTGATATTTTATATATATTAAACTTACCTTTTTTAGCGAATATTGGTAGTTTTACTGATTTAGTTGGCTCTGAACAACTTTTACAAGAGGACCATCTCGACGCATCGGAATTGCATATAATATCGACGGGACATAATTTTATTGTAGTGTCATTCAATATAGTCGACAGATGATCCTCCATGTCATCCCCTAGACAAATGACTTTAGTCTCTTCCTTGGGACATTTTACAACATTTTTAGTATTCTCATGACGAGATCTTGATACGCAGGATGAATTTTGTACATCTTCATCCTTCTCTGCAGAATCCTTTTTCTGTAGAGTCCTAGATATTAAATGTTCATCCAATTCAGGACGTTGTTGACGAATATTTGACAAGGATTTTCTGGCTGCCGAAATACAACTCTCGATCACTTTATTCATCTGAATGTTCTTTTCACGTTCCTCGCAAGAGCGACACTTGGATGGTCCTTCATTCCTACAAACAGTTCTTGACATCTCGTGATAAGGTCGCCCGTCGTCCTTTGAGCATGACACTCTAGATGATAACTGATCCTTATCCAAATTATCAACATGAAACTTATCTTTGCATCTAATGCGCAGAGTACCCGGACAAGCAACGTGTCTCCTTTTCTGCAATAAAAGTACGTTTGGATCATTTAGTTACTTTACCTGAAGTAGTAACTTTGAATTTTTTTCCTTTCAATTAAGTTATGCAACAAGTTTTCAACATAAGGCCTCTCTTAAACGACCTACCTTCCCCTGTATATTTGGCTCTTCACAAAATACTTTACACTGAATACATTTTGAGTTATCATCAGATTTTTTTTCGCTATCCAAATTCGTCCCCTTCCTTTTTGTTATTTCATATACGGTGTTCATCCTTGCCAATGGGAGAGTGGTCGGTGCTCGTAAAAAAAAAATATGACCTTTTTGTGCTCTGCGCTGATCCGACGAATTTTCTTGGAAAATCTCAGCTTTCTCTTCTTTCTCACAGCACTGACTCGCCCCTTGACTCGAGCAAGTGGGCCAGGAGTGGCTGCTGCTACCTCTTGAGTGCTAACGGGGAAAAACACGTCAGTTGTCGAGGACAGATTTCTTAGGGTTGTTACTACTAGAATTACTTGTAAGGTGTTTAGACTACCCTTGTTTACCCTTGTTACCCTTGTTTAGACTATTTTTTAAAACGCAGATTAGACAACGCTATTTTTGAAGCACGGATCATTTTTTTGACGTTTATTTATCATTATAGTTGCTGTATCAGTACTTATAAATTTAGTGTTGGATTATTTTGGAGACGATTTCCCTTACGTATTGGCTATTTTTACGACATGTGGCTCTTTTGAGGACCATAAAGCCACACCAAATTTGTTGAAATTTTTTAAAGACTAAGCACCCGGAGCTGTGAGGGGCTTAGAAAGGATTACGTTAGGTTAGGTTAGAATAGGATAGAATTCCCATGCTGTGATGTCCTAGGGTTTAGTTTTCTTTTTATTTTTCTTTTATAAAAACGCATTAATTCGCTATTGCGGACGCCGCTTTATGGTACCCTGTCCTCAAACTATACGAAGGGCATATAAATATATATATAAACATCACGGGATATAGTACGCTAATGATGTCATGTAAAAAACTAATGAACTTTGTTACTGTGGAATCCCATCGTAAATTGTAAAAGAGTTCACATACAATACATTACCAGATTAAGCGAAATAACTCACGATGCTAATGTTCGAGGATCTCGCGAGTCTCTCATCAGCATCCAAATGATCGTAGAGGAAGCGATGCATAACCTCGAACCATACGACTCCAGGTTGGCAAATCCTTCCGCTCTTGAGGGCCACATCCATTCTCCGCAATTCCGAAACGTAGATTCTCCGCAATTTCCGTAGTTGCGAAAGCACGTCGCTGACCGTCACGTGCTCGGGCATGCAAAGACCCTATGAATAAAATTGGCATTCACATCGAATAGCCGATAGCACCAAAGAGAGCCCAACGAGGCTAGATTCTGGATTAGATCTGATGCGAGTCGTGTCTCAGCGAAGATCGCCATTTTCTATTTAAAAAATTGATATTGAGAAAACTTGTACGTATTGCTAGAAATATTTTCATACGCAGTCTGGTATTTGACTTTCGTCGATAAATTGAGTAATTTTCCAGATTAACATATATATATTTGTTATGTACACTGTGCACTAATTGTATATTTGTAATTACGTTCAACATTGCAATTAATTCAGTACTTTTCAATTGGAATAATTTCACTGGAATTGTTGAATATTGATTTTAATGTTATTAATAGTATTTCATTCGACTTTATTAAAAACTGATAAATTTGAACGTGGTAGAGTTCGTAACTTTATTAAGAAAGTTTTCTTTTTTTTTAACTTTACCTGAAGAATCCGAGAGTACGAATAATATCTGCTAGGCAAATCGTCGTAAGAAGGTTCATTATGATCCCAAAGGTTAGGAAATCGTGAGTAGAGTCGAACGAGTTTAAGAAGTTGATCATCGGTCCAGCATTCCATGTTTTTATATGAAACTTGTAGCTTCTCATTATACTTCAATTTTCACTAGCGTTTTATAATTCAATTTTCGACGTGACGTGACAATTTTTCAGTGGAGCAAACTTGCACTCGCAACAGTTGACGAACTCATTGCAATAAAATTGCAATGTCTGTCCCCTTAACATGGCAACGAGTCCTAATCTTAAGTGCTAATACATGTAAATTCAAGGATGCGCATACTATAATATACAGACAGACGGTTTAATTGCATACAACATTCTGCTACAAACTTCTGCTTTAATATTATACAGAGCTAACAACTATGTTTGTTACTATTATTTATTTTATTCAAATTTGCATATATGTGAAATCCATGATAAAAAAAAATATTGACGAATCCAAATAATCATTTCTGATAAATTAGATTTGCAACCGTACCGGAAGTGATACCAAGTTCGCGTTATCCACCTGAATATTGCACGCAGGCATGTGCACCGCGATGTGTGCATTGTGGCGAACTTCTCTCGGCTCACAGGTTTCAATTCCTGCATTCAGTTTGGCAACCGACGTTATTTTTATTACTATTAACGACCATGCACGATACATAAGACTTGAAAAACAGCCACATACATGTAGAAGACTATAAATATTAAAATTCTACAAAGTCATAAAGATTCTTTAAGATTAATTAAGGTCCTATGTATAAAGATAACGTGAAAGCAACAATTTTACATACAACAATAATTTTGTATCAGGTACAAATATAAATGTGTCAACAAAAAAAAAAACAATTAATTCATCCATAGACGCCTCTTTCCCCAGTTTTTCTGTTCAAGAGGCAGACTATCAGTATCTGTCAAATAAAAAAAAAGTTACACAATACTGACACTGCCCTTAAGTGCAGTGGGAAAAAGTTTTGGTTAAGTAAAAACAAAATAGAAGATAGAACCAAAGTATGTCCTGAAAGTTACCGAAGGTATTAACAGACATATTTACTTGGCATAAAGAAAAAGTAAACGGAAAAAAGTTGTATGTACTGCGTCTCGCCATACGGTATCATTATTCATTGTCGTAAAAGATATCGATCTCTCTCTATAGGTTTCCATTCTGTTCTAATAACAAATAATACTAACCAATTTGACAGGATATAGCCGATTAACTAGCGATCGTTTGTATCAGCAAATACGATAAAGCTAAGAAGCTTGACAGGGCGACTTGTCCGGTTGAAGTACAAAGGATCCTCGAGAGCTTGCACAGCAATTACCTCCATTGAGATATTCCTAGGGTCTCCTCTAAAGTGCCATTCCTTTGTGCGCAGGTATACTGGCGGCGTTTTCGGACATGCAGACGGTTTTTTTGGCGTGTATTTCGACGCTATTGCCACTGATTCTTGCACTGGGAATAGCCTTTGCGATAAGGTAAGTAAATGCCCGAGGGCTACAATTATTTTTTAATTATAAGCTATTGTATAGCAAATTAGAAAAGGTGTTCTCGGGAGTATGAACAATACTGTAAAATAAAAATGAAATTTATACATATACATAGTTTCCTTGCATATAATAAAGGTAAAGATCGCAGTGTTGAGTGCTAGGTTCTTTTCAGTACTTTAACGTTTATAAATGAGGTAAAAAAAACATCAGTAGATTTGCCGCAAAAAATTATACATATATCAAGATCTTATACAAAGTTCTCGTCAAGTTCCGAGTTACTACTGTGGCTTTCTGGCGACGGAGGATAAGCAGAAATAGACAATTTTTTATTTTTGTAAATCAAGTGTTTCTAAGGGTATTTGAGGTCGCTGATTACGATTACGAAGTCATATTTTTCAAAATTTTCAATGGTTGAATCAGTATTGCAGACAAAACTTGAGCAAATATGGAAATATTTTTAACTTTTCTTTAGTGTTGCCCAGAGCTAACTACATGGATTTAGAAAGTATTTGCAGCTCCTCTTTAATGTATTTTTCGTTTTCGAACTTTTTCTCCAAGTTCTTGTCAGAGTTCAAGTTACTATAGTGGGTTTCTGACGTTCTACAGGCTAATGGGAGGGGTAGAATCTCAAAAAAAGATGATGTCAAAAACGTGTTCACTTACTGGATGTCTGGAAGCATTAATCTGAATACCACGTAACCGTTAATGGGAATAAACTTAATGACTGTCGGTAACATCTGCAAATAAGTGCGTCAAGAAACACCCTCGTATGTTTCCTATGAAGCCCCTGAATTATGCGGTTCTTAAGATTTGCAAGAAAGACTGGTATATAATAGTTTTGGAACAATGGATCGGGATCGACAACCAGATCGCCTAGAGAATTTTGATAGATACTCCTAGAGCAGTAAAGATTTTAGAGTTAGCATAAGCTAGGGATGGCAAATCTTGTGAAGCCGACTCATGCCTTACGCTATCCAACAGTAGGTAAAACTTGCAGGTATTAAACATGCTGCTAGGTCTTCGTAAAAATTGCATGCTTCTACCTGCGTCGCGTAGTTTGGTTCGCGCGAAAACAAGAGTTGCTACGTATACGTCTATACCTATATACATATGTACGGTAGAGGTGCAGCAGAGGTGCAAAAATAGTGTGCAGATAGCATCAGAGTCAACATAATAGTATATGTATATGTAAAACATGGAGAAATTTTATGAAGAGCTTTTGAATAATATTGAGCAGAGTTTTAGTATCTTTTTATTTAAACCGGTAGAATCTTTGGAACTAGCCCAGAAAATAAAATTTATTGTTCGTTTCAAAGATTTGACGGTTACTAGACATTGAGCACATAAAGACTCTATTTCCTAGATATACTTTCTCCCGTTCAAGATAGCTGCTCTGAAATTTCGCTAGAAGATTGACATTGATAAATGTAGCAACTCAATACCCTTCACTGTTGAAGCGATTATACTACTACACTACACTGTACAAAATAATCCAAAATCGTGTTACGTACCGCGATCACTCATTCGGAAATAGCTTCTTTGATTGATTAAAATTCAAAGACAACGTCTGCTTTCATTGACAGACATGAATTCTTACAAACATGTGTATATGAAAAGTTAACATAGCCCTGATTATAGAAGATGTCTGAAATATATTATAATGCGTTGTCATAAGTAGAATTATGTTAGATTATACCTGCAAAAGACTAGACCCTAATCAACCCACTCAAAGTAGCTGCCATTTTTTGAATAGGTATGGATACTTTCCTCTTGACAAATTCAATGAGTTTTTGAATATCGAGAACCACTTCAGCCATTTTCTTTTCACAGACACATGTATCATACATTCTACACACATTCTACATACCAGTTAGTCATCACGAAGATTTTCTGAAATCTCGTGGGATCTCTTTAAACTTCGACACACGCCACTGCTTCGTCACTAATACGTTAATCAAGATATTGTTGATGCATTCTGCAGATTTCAATGATTCATAGAATCCTACATTTCCACGAGCGAAACAACATCCTACCAATCAGAAATTTTATGCTTGATACTGCGAATATCATTTCACTATTGCGAAGCCGTCGAAGCTTTGTCAAACTGACGCACGGCACCATAATGGGATACGTGATACGAGTAGTGGAAATGGTTTGAAGATGGCGCTGACGTTGTGCTGTCTATTCAAAACGTGACCAGCGTACGTGCCGGCACGAATTTTTAATATTTCACAGACTGAAATAGGTCGTGAAAATGAAATATACGACTTTAGAATATTGCTCTTTAAAGAATTTTCTCTTATAAGGATTTTTTATAGGTCATCTTCTATTCTCTCTTAACGATACTCCATTGTTGTTAGATATGAATGAATGAGACTAGATTTATTCTATTATTCTGTTTTCAGGCACGTATGGAGGAAATACCGGAACAGGAGGAGTGGATCGAGACAAATATCCTGGTACAGGGGTATATGCTCCAGGTACGACACGACCGAATCCTTACATCATCGTCCACACTCAGGGACTGTGACAATTCAACCTGCGACTCGCGTTCTCTCAGCTCAAGATGTAAGTCACGGCCGGTTCTCTTGTATTGTTGTCGGGACGGGTTACCCCAGAGGTTAGCTGGGATTGGAATTCAAAGTCCTCTCAGCTTTCAAGTGTATTTGAATAAGGTTACACCAGGGAGAAAACAACCCTTCGACTAAAACTACCTACTACTCTTCATCTTATACTGCTACTTTAGCTAAAGACAGGGGGGGGGGGGCGGCGTTTGTTTTTGTCGAATAGTAATTTAATTATCGGCTAATTAAAAAGCGTTTTTCACGTTTTATTATTGGAGAAACACGCTATTTTAAATTAAATATTTTAGAATAGAAATTGACCAGTGAATAGTGCGGTACGCGTCTCAGTGGCTCCGCAGCGGCAGTGCTACACGGTGGCAGGGTCTGCGACGAACTACGTCGTTGTAAATTTTGTTCGTCAGGTAAGTATAAAACGACATAAAAATGGTGTGAAGATTTTCAGCAGGAACCAGACTATCGATGGGATAAAAAATTATTTAACTTTTGGTTAGATGTTTGTTCAAATTCGCGGGATCAATTGCGTCACATAATTCAGGTGGTGTTGCTGTGTTGCTGTGTTATTGACACTCGTTTGTATGGGGATATTCGGAAGTGGCAAAAAGTAAATACATACAGGCGTCATAAATTGCTCCAAGGGGGTCACACATCGGGTACACGCAAGGATCACAAACTACGCATGCGTGTTTCCCCAGTGTTAGAAACCCCACTAGCAAAGAAGCGCTATTCAAACAATAATTTTATTAATAAACCTTAATTGTTTCACTTGTATAATAGGTGAATCTCGTTCGGAAGGCTTTAACGCATGTGTTGAAATCTTTAGATTTCAGTTTGACTATATCACACGTGAATAAATAGCAAAAATCCGACATGGCCGCTCTTCGAGTATCACTCTCTGGGCCGTTTACCTTATGTTTACTACATCTAATTGTAAGATGATGCAGTTGGTATGCCTGATGTGAACTAATTCTGATTTTACACACAGCCTCTATAAATATTTATAATTTCATACTGCAGCTCCATTATTAATATTATAAATGTGTACATACAGAAGTGACTATAAGATGGGTTGAAAAAAGGGATAAATATTTGAATTTAATATATACTGCACGTGCGCAATGCGATCTGGAGAGTATAACAGTTTATAATTTCTATTGATATACTATAAGCTGCCCATAAATAAAAATAAAAGTTGTAATGCTTGCTGTGTAAGATGTCAGTATTTTTGTTGTAGCTTACAGTTTATACTATTGGTGTTTTATCAAATCTGACATAGTTGGATAGCTTAGCGTCGCAGTCGATGCAGAGAATTTTTGCGACAAGAAAAACATAAAAATATGGAAGCTTGTCATATCATAGTTCATACCTGCTGCTAACTTTTATCGCACGGCACACCGCTTTGCTAACTTGTGAAAATTTCCTATAATCGGATTTACACCATTCGTCGGTGAGAGACTTTTGCCATCTTTATAGGACTTTAAGTCCAATAATTCTTGAGCTCGATTTTCACGAGCTGCCAAATATTTTTATTTTCATCTTCCCTGTTCCCATATTTCCCTCCCTTGTCCATAAGTAATCATAAAGATCTGGCAAAATTGTTATCTACTCGAAAGTTCACGTACGAAAAATTCTTATCAAGAAATCTTTACCTCAGGTCTCAGGTGAATATCACGCTCAATGAAAAAAAAAAAAAAAAAACGCTAGAAAACTTACAGAAAAAAACATTCGATGGTAAAAAAAAAATATTTTATTCCTGACAATGTTTGCAATAAAAATGCCCAAGGGCTTCTAGTGGTCGTAAAATGATAAGCATAAATAGCTGGTCTCATAACGGTATATAAAACTAGGATTTATTATACAGAGCGTAACGAAAAGAAACGTAAGAAATCTTTTCAACTCGAAAAGAAAGATGGTAGAAATAGGTAAGTTATTGGTACAGTGGTGGGTAGGCAGTCCTATTGTTGGTAGCATAGGTAACAATATTCTCTTTGAAGTTGTCTCTCGCTCAGCAAGATTTAATGATCGGACGAATATACGGCTCAACATTCTTCGGCTGCAAATTGCAAGGTCAGCATTAATATTAATGCTTTTTTTTTATCTGGACCGCTTTCAACAAGACTACCACTTGACAAAGTCGCATCGTAGGACTTTAACGAAAGATAAATCACCCCTTGTACCAAATCGAAAATATTTTATATATCTACCCTTGTGCAATTGCATACCCCAACCTTACGGTATACCTGATATATATATGCAAATGGTACGACGGGCCTTCCTTTTTTCGTTTCTATCCAGTGCGTTATAATTGTACAATTACGAGGGTGTCTACCCCTGAAACAGTATCTTATAGGGAGTTTATCCTCCCGCGATATTCACCTGTGACGAAAATACAAGCTTTTTGAGGTAATTGCTGGGATTGTTAAAAGGGCACGAAGATGGGATAATAAAGAGAAGAATAAGGGATGTTACCTTAGTCTGTCCCTATGTATCTCCAACCACCTACGATCGTTCCCGCACATCTCCTCCCCCCTCGCTCCTTTTACGGTATAGCCAGAAAACGGAGGCATTTTCCATGGAAATGAGGACTCTCGAAGTAATTGACGACCATAATGTCTAAGGGCTAAGTGGCACTCGCGGGCTCTTACCCCGTATACGTATACACGATATAAAGGATGGTTCTATGACTACTTACTACTCATTATACATATATCCCTAGCGATTTCTAATTTCAGCTCATTTTCTATATATCCTTGTGAGTGAATTTCTTTTGTCTAGATAAGGGTGCTATTTTTATTTCTTATGGATTGTTTTCATTTTTATTATTATTTTCAACCCTTATTCCGTCTCTTCTTCCCGTCTATTTTTAAATGCAACCATCTGGCGTCACCCACTTCGTGTGATTCTGCTTTTATTCCATCCCGTGCCGAGATAGCGAATCAAATGTCCCTGCCCCAAAAACTTACCCTCATCTTGCCCTCGCTAAACTCCCCTATTTTCCAAGCTACTATCAGCGCCGGGAGTTGCAGAATGTTTTCGCACCCCGAGAGCAAAGTGGTAAGTTTTGCTCAGTAGTTTTCCAAATTGGCTAGTTTGATACTACCCTCGAAAAAAAGGAAGTTACCTCGTTGATGGTACCCGAACTTCAGATACACTGTTTCTCCATTACAGGAATCGGACGCGGGATTACGTGGTATTGGAGTTATCGAACAAAAATTGAGATAAACTGCGAAACTCCTGCGGGTATACTATACAAAAATATAGTTATGTTTATGGAACACTACCAGTCTAGTGTCTTATTTTATGTATTGTTGTTTAATGGATTCACTATTTTTACTGAATATCTTTAGTGTTTGAAAATAACTGCGGATTCACAATTACACAATTTTTACTTTCTCATCACATACAAAGTATGTAACAAAGTATTGCAATCCAAAAAAACATCGACTCCCAGATTTTGATGGAAATACATGTTTTGAGGGTCTTAGATTCTAAAAAAAAAAACATTCACTCATTTCTATCTATTTGTGGTAAATTCTATCCGAAACACATTAACTTTCCAAAGAGGCTACGGATCGTAATGAAATTTGGTGTGTGTCTTCTGTGTATAAAATGTAGTTTTGATATTGTAATTGACACCAAAACATCAATTCGTTCTGGCCTTTACCTTAAATATGAAAAATAAAAAAAAATTCTATCGATAGTCTGCAGTGTATAGACCTTTTTTTTGACCAGTTTCATGAGAGCCAATAGAAAAGTCTCCACAGTATACGTCAATATCTAGACGTAGATATAATAGATACAACTCAATAAAAAACTGACTAAACTAAAAGAATTCTCTATTTCAACTCTACATAACTCAATTCTTAACTTCAAGTAATTTCACAACCGTAACGTGATGCTAGTAACAATCGTGATGAGAAAGTCACGTGTTGCGATCCCGCCAGTAGCACCTTCTTATATTTATGTAGGTGTGGGCCCCGAGCCTGGCTTGCCACGGACCTGACGATGGCAGTGGGGTCACGTGCCTGCAGCTGAGCAGCGGAGAGGGGGAACGAGGAGTTAGTTCTGATTTAGACTCTAAGCAACGGTGTTCGTTTGTATAATAAACGTCCTTGTAATTATTAAAGTTGCAGTCCGTCATTTCACACTCACCTCGGAAAAGATCCCCACAGTTGGGGGCTCGTCCGGGATCGAGGCCGATAACAGAGTGTGAAATACGGTGAAGTTGAAAAGTTGCACGATTGAAACGATCGCAGTGTCGAGTCGCAAGCAAACACGAATGCGTTAGCCATTACTCGTCGCGACACGTCTAGCGAGCGGATCAAGAAAATTGAAGTCGTCAAAACGTTGCGTGGATTTTGATTGAGCGTGCAAAACGTTGTGCACCGCAAAAGTTGTCGCGCGTAGCATAATTCTGTCGAAGTCGTGTGCGTATCGATCAAACCCGCAACACAGCGTCCATTACAGTTCGTTGTGTACACTGTATATAGAAAATACAGTCGTGTGGAAATACAGTTGTACGACGAAAGTTGCGTTGTTCGTCGTTGTGCGTCGGAAGTCGCATAGAAAATACAGTCGTGTGGAAATACAGTTGTACGACGAAAGTTGCGTTGTTCGTCGTTGTGCGTCGGAAGTCGCATAGAAAATACAGTCGTGTGGAAATACAGTTGTACGACGAAAGTTGCGTTGTTCGTCGTTGTGCGTCGGAAGTCGCATAGAAAATACAGTCGTGTGGAAATACAGTTGTACGACGAAAGTTGCGTTGTTCGTCGTTGTGCGTCGGAAGTCGCATAGAAAATACAGTCGTGTGGAAATACAGTTGTACGACGAAAGTTGCGTTGTTCGTCGTTGTGCGTCGTTGTGCGTCGAAAATCGCATAGAAAATACAGTCGCGTGAAGGGGCAGTTGTACGAAGAAAGTCACGTCGTTCGTCGAGTGCGTCGTAAGTTGTGTGAGAGACAGTGTCTTCGTGAAGTTTGCAGACAA